TATTCTAAATTTTATCCTAATGATTTATCATATGATTGTCGAAAAAAGAACAAATATATAACTTTCGAAATATATAATTGACTAAAATCTTTTCTCTAGCTTATCAATCATGTAATAAAAGTTAATTTTGTCTGGTTATATTTTTTAAAGTAAATTTCTATTAAAAATTACAAAATTATTATTCAGATGCAGTTTTTTTTTCTTTTTAAATTTTATCATTTGTTTAAGTTACAATCACTCTTATTAAACACTTATTTCTATTATAAAACTTATTTATAACTGCAAAAAGACAAAAAAAGAGAGGGGAGTACCAAGAATTCTCTCTCTTAAAAAAGGCAAATCAAGAGAATAAGACAGAGAGAAAAGTTGTCCTTTTAGGAACATCCCATAAACTAGAGTAATACAGGGAAATACAGAAAAATGACAAATCCATTTTGGCTCTATAGCACACTCTCCCTCTTTGAAGCTTAATTTCAGGTGCTTATGTCCTCTTTACAAGGCCTTAGGGCTAGTAAAAGAGAATGTAAAAACATATTCACTAACAAAAATCAAGTATGAAGAAGAAGCGTAACTTGTGTCTATAAATAAAGAAGAAGAATAAGCATCACATGCAATGGCAGAGATCCTATTTACAAAGAAGGGTTATTTGGAATGATTCAATACCTTCACTCTAACAAGACAATTCTTTTATTGCTGCAGCCAAATTCACAAGCAACATAGGTGACTTGCAGCAAGGCTAATCAATCCAAAAATGCTGCTAAAAAGTGATATTCTCATCTAAGCACAAGCAGCTGCATGACCAGGATCCAAGAAGAATAGCTGATGGTTTCATAAACAATCAGCAACCTGTTTAAAGATCTTCCTTGACAGGCCAATCCAAGAAACCAAATTTTGTTTACAAGTTCCCTGAAAATCCTAGCCTTTCATTTCAAAGGATGGGAACTACACATCAATTGTGAAGCAGCCTTCTGTTAAACACCACAACTTGCCACATATATAACAAGATCAACCAATGGCTCTTAGTGGCTGCGATTGGGTTTTCTGTCTAAGAAACACTCAAACCAGTGTTTTGGAGCAGCAGGGTGGATACCATGGAGGCGAGCTACAAAATTCTTTTCACTAGTAGCAACTATGCTTGCAATAGAGTACTCTCTGGCACACAGTCCGTTTTCTGTAAGCCATTTGTGGAATCTGTACCTGGGCTTAATCCGGTTATCCAAGTCAAAACACAGAAAAGCTGGGAAAACATTCAAGTAGTCCAAGGAAGCATCCATCTCTTGGCAGAGAAAATTTACTTTCTGTTCTAAAGTCTCTGGCTTTTGATTCATGATCTTCGGTGCTAATCTAATAATCATACAAAGCTTGGAGAATTTGATCCCAGTTCCAAGTAGACAATCAAAACGGTCCTGTAACTCACTGCTAGTGCCATGCATATGTTCTAACACCTTTATTGTTAAAATATTCTGTCCAAACCCTATGCCATGCAGAAAATTCAACTTATTCATTGTGTAAAAGGGTGTTCTTGAGGATTGAATCTTATTTAAGCTCTCCTTGAATTCTTTATCTATGTCTTCATCAGGGTCATCTAAGGCATAATTTGCTAACAAGTTATGATTTCCATTCTTAATCCTATCGAAGAACCATTGATGAAGATTCAAAGCTCTCATGGAATGAGGCAAATTAACCATTTTGTTTCTGCCAAATATGTAAGGGTAATTTTGAGCAACAGGTTTCAGTTCCTCATCATTCAGTCCAAAATGCTTCAATATCCCCATGATTGAAATCACCGGAGTCTCCAGATCAAAACTCAGAATCTCAGGACTCTGAAGAAGCAGAAGACCAACATTTTCTTTCTTCACGCCAAATCTACAGAAATACTCAACCTTTTGGACCAAAACATCTTCCGGATATTTAAGAAAACGATCTTTGCTCTTACCCATCAAGTCCCCAATCTCTCCCTTCTCACATCCCAAATTATAGAAAACTCTAATTTTCCTACAAATCTCATACCAAACATTGACATTGCTGTCAACACAACTCGCCAAATCACAATCCACAAAAACTCTTTTCAAATGATCTAATAAAGAATCAATCTCGTCACCATCTCCACCCAAGAGACGAGGAAAAGCTAGACTGATACCTGTCACCATAATATTATTAAACCCACGATTTTTACAAGCAGAAAGCCTAGATGTAATATCCTCCGAGCTCTTCCTAAAGATGGAAATTTCCTCTTTATACAACTTACCCAACTTGTTCCAAGGAAACCCAAAACTATTCAGCACACAAGCTACATTCAACATAGTCCGGTCCTCCGAGAAGAAAAACTTATTGGATGGCAAAAATATGGAAACCTCATCATGGTCTATGCCAATACTCTCGAGGAAAAACTCGAATTCATTGATTGGGTGGTACCTGAGGAACTTCCGAAGCGACGTGGCGAAACTGGGAGCCGCGAAATCGAGCTTAGCAATTAGATTAGAGACAGAATATAGGGAGTTCTTGCCAATGTGCTCAGCGTATGTATAGGGCAAAGACCTGGTGGAGTGGAGATAGTCAGTGATAATTTGTTGGGCTTGTTGGATTGCTTGCGGTCTGTACCTTGAGGGGATCTTGGCGAGTTTTGGTAATGAACTGATGTGGCGGGAAAAGAAGGTTTTGTATAGAGATTGAGCTTGGCGTAAGTGCATTTTGATTTTCGAATTTTGGGGGTTTAGGGTTTAGGTTGCAATAACATCATTTTCATTTTCCGTTGATGTCTGAAGGGACTGTTTTAACTTTAACCAGTAATCTCGAGGGCATTTTGGTAAATTTATTCATATATAAACCCTTAAAGACCTTCCTTTCGTCGACGAAATAGATTTTCGACTTCTGCTCCTTTCCGCCGCAGGACGATGGCCCAACACGGCCAATTTTCCATAAACCCCATGGTATCCATCGCCGGTAATCCTCAGTATCAAGCCGACACGTCAGCTGGCGTCAAGCGTCGGCGCGAAGAAGGCGATGGCTTCAATGCCTACACGGGAGGGTTAGAGGAATCGGCACCGAAGCGGCAAGCAAAAGCGCAGGACGTGCTGTTTCGAATTGTGGTTCCCTCGAGGCAGGTCGGGAAAGTAATCGGCCAAGGAGGAAAGCGCATCCAGAAGATCCGTGAAGACACCAAAGCTACCATAAAGATTGCCGATGCCATCGCCGTGAGTTTCCTATCGATTTCTTACTCCATAAAAATGTTGAAATTATCGTTTTCTTCTAGGTTTAAATTAAATTCTGCTTTTAAAGAAAAACCTATTATCTGTACGAGCAGCGCCACGAAGAGCGTGTGATTATCATAAGTTCTAAGGACAATGACAATGCAGTTTCTGATGCAGAGAGAGCCCTCCAGCAAATAGCTGGGTTAATTCTCATGGTAATCTTGTTTTTCATACAGATTCTGAAACTAAAAAAAGAAAAATGATGAATTTGGTGTTGTTGCTGTTTTCACCAGGAAGATGACAATGTTGTGGAGGCAGCTAAAGTGGTTAGTTTAGGACATGTAGCTGCTAATACTATAAGGCTATTGATAGCCGGTTCACAAGCGGGTTCCCTGATAGGAATATCGGGTCAAAATATAGAGAAATTAAGGAACTCATCTGGTGCCACAATTACGGTTCTCGCTCCAAATCAGCTGCCCTTGTGTGCATCTGCCTATGAGTCTGATCGAGTTGTGCAGGTTTGTTGCATTAACCTTCTCAAATTGGACATTTTTTTCAGTATATTGTTCTAGTTTTACTTTTACATTGAGTTTATAGAACAATCTTACCTCTGAAAGGTGTCATTCGTTTAGCTCAGATGAATAGGGGAAAATATTAGAAAGAAAAACTTTCTCATGTTAAGAAAGAGTTTAAGAGGATTAGTGTCTTGAGAAATTAGCATAAAGTAGAAGCTTCAAATTGATTTATAAAAGTAAAAGGAGTTAATGATAAAAGGACTTAATGATTATGTAATAGGTAACTGCGAGAGATGGGTCCTAGCTTTGGGATAGATATTCCTTTAAGCACATGGTATGTTATATTATCCTGCTATTTTGAGCTTGGTGTCTGATTACCAGGTGCTGATTTAGAAAGGCAAGCAGTATAAAGATCTTTGTGGTGAAAAAGTAAGAATGTTGCAATTTCTTCTAAAAATGAATATGAAGATAAATAGGTACCTGAACATCTTTTGAAAATAAACAATATAAATCAAGATAGAGAAAGTTAAAAAAGTTAGGGGTAATGTTTTTGGAGAACGTTTGGGATTGCTCAAAAAAGTGTGCTTAAAATAGCTTTTAAGATACTCATAGTTGAGTTTTATTTAAAAAATTTCAATTAGACACTTGAATAAAGTGTTAACTCTACAAAATAAACAATTATGTTTGATAGTAAAAAAAAACCATATACAGCTACTGCGAATATTTCGTAACATATTATTATATATAATTATTAACTTTAAAAGGATATTAAGAGAAGTTTAATAGGATGTCAAGAGGTTAATTATGTTTGCTAGATAAAAAAATAAGAACATAAAAAAAGTTAAGAATAAAATATTTATTTTATTCATCCTTAAATTACTTCAGAATCTAATAGGCAAGTTTCCTTTAATGTTAACAAATAGAAAGGTTAGAATATGGTACTTGAACTGCTTATAAACAGGAAATAAGCAATTAAAAATGCCCTTTTATTATTTTTCATGCTTAAAGTTCCTTATC